TATCCATTAATTATTACTAACAATTTGATTGATTAATAAACATTAGATTCTAGTAATTAAAAGAAAGAATTGATGTGACTAATTTAATCTCCACTATAATTATTCATTATAACTATTTATATTTTTATTTTATTTTTCTAAATTATAATAATATTTCTTATAATAAACTTTTTACAGTTTTCTGATGGTGAATATTTCAAGGTAGTTTTTTGGTTAATGCTGATTACAGCTAACTTTTGGGCTACTTTTGTCAGTTAATTGCAAGCAACTCACAATAATTTGATGCTTATCAATTAATTAATTTACAAATTTACTTTGGTCATCACTTACTGCTTCTTTCTTGTATGTGAATCTGTAAGCATATTTGATTAAAGCTCCAAATGAGCTGAGCCAAGTTTATGCTTAGCTTGAGCTTGACTCAACTTGAATCAAGGTTGGGTGATGAAAATATTTTGTCAAACAGGGTACACCTGACTAAATGTGACAATGTGGTAAAATATGACAAAAATGATGAAAATGACAAATGGCAAAAGTCAAAAGTCAAAATTAATTGAATTTCTCTTTGGTCAATTAGAACAGTGCTTTCATAAAAGTTTGACAAAAGAGCTTGGGCATTTTATTTTTGTTTATTTCTAGAGATGGGCAAATGGCATATAGTTGAACACTATACGATACTTTACAATACTTTACGTATAGTGCATATAGTGTGTATAGTACATATAGTAGTGTTGAAATTTGATTGGGTGATTTTCAAATAATAAGAAAAAAAATAATTTGGCTATTACAATAAGCATAAATCTTTAATTTATTCAACCTACACTTTTTTAGGTTTTATTTATGAATCAATAATTGTATTTAATGAATTAAATAACATAAAAATCAAAACTGCTTTCATTTTTATTTGATTCTTCAATAAAAATAGAACCAAGAAAAAACAAATTTATAAAAATAAAACAAACAAATTCATTGGTGATAAAAAATATTCAAAAAAAATGGAGGGATTTTAAGCAATTATTTGATAAAAAGACTGGGTTAAATCCCGATTTTTCATTTGGTGAAATGGCCATGGAAATTTGTGAATTACTTCCAGAGGGAAAGGGAATTGCTGCTTCTACAATAAAAAAATTCTATCGACAAAAAACAAATCCTAGAAGAAAGATGATAGAATCAATTCAGGAATGGGTCAACAAAGAAACGAAGAAAGAAGTGGAGAGTGAAGTTGACAAAGATAACAAAAATGAATAAAATACGAATATTAATAATAACATTGTTGATAATAATAAAAATAGTAGTAATAGTGAAAATTGTCAGTGTCCAAAGAATAGGTAATACTTATAATGGTTTTGGGTCCGATTATTATCCTCCCATACAAGCACTCTGACGATTCTTTAACTTATATTTTTATAAATTACTTATGTATTTTTCTATTATTAGTTGAATTAAAATTAAAATAATTTTCTTTTGTCATTAAATCATTGTACATAAAAATAAATTCCAAGTCATGTGCCCACTAATTTATCATTGGTCGAAATTATGCAATTAATTGTATCTAAATCAAAAAAATTTTTTTTTTTTAAAATTCATTTTAAATCTTTTTTTTATTTTTTAAAAAATGGCAACTGTTGAAGAAGTGAGAAACGAATTAAACTACGCAAAGAGAGAGTATGAGGAAGCGAAGAAGAAGTTGCAGGAGTTCAAAAGGGGGTGGGAAGGGCAGAGGTTGAAGGAATTGTGGGAAGGAGAGAAAGAAAAAAGAGATGGGGAATTTAATTATTTGAAGGAAGAAAAGGCAAGATTGGTGAAGGTCGTGGAAGATAGGTGGGACCAAGTGGGGGAGTGGGGGAAGGCGTTCCGTAATTTTGGTATAGGAGAAGGTAATGAACAAATTATGTAAAAAATATACAGAAATTATTTTCCATTCATTCCATTTCGTTTATTTATTTACTCAAGAGACTTTTTTTAATTAATTAAATCACTGACTTGTATATACTTTTTTCTTTTTGAATCTCCTTATGCTTGCTCTTCCTGTTATTATGTATTTCCTTCTCCTCTTTGGTAATCATGCTAGATACATCATCACAATATGAAAATTTAAAGGGATTATATGATAAACTTGATAAACTTGATGAACTGCCAACTAAAATCATAGAAGGTCTTCGCAAACCAACTCCAAAGTCAGACTTTTCGTATGCAAGTAGCACAAATTGGAAGAAGTTTAAGACTGTTGCTGATTCAGTTGTTAAGTGGGATATTGAGAATGAACCAGATTTTCCAGCTATTACAGATCAAATAGAGAAATTCACATTCAAGATCAATGATCAAATCAGATACAATAGCATGGGAAGAGAGCACCAGAATGAGATTCTAGTGACAGCTGATGTTTTTCCACATTTTAATGTAATCCTTAGTGAGGGTGGGCAGTTGAAGTTCAGTTCGAAGAAACAGGGTTATCAATCACATAAGTATCATCTGGAAGGCAAGGACGATTTATCTATTATAGAAAAAGTCAGCAAGATCAAACGAGTGTCTGTAGAAATCAAAGAAATGACCTCAATGGTTAATGAGGAATGGAAAAAGAAATTTCCTCAAGTCCTTGGACCTCTTGATTATTTGACTGATTTGCTATTTAATACATATGAAATCAAAGTAGGATATTGCTTTCTTACTAATGGTATAGTCTGGTATCTTTTTAAGGGTGGGTAATTTATGACAATGTATCATCTTAATTTTGTAAACAAATATTGATTTTCTCAATTTTACTTTATCAGGCAGCATAAAGGATGGTGATTTAATGATAGCTGCTACAAAACCATACTTTGCCGCATCAATTGATTTGACTAGAGCTCTGTTGCATATATTCAAAGGAATTGAAAAGAGACTTATTAATGAACCAGTTGATATGATTCTATCTGTTGCTGAAGATGGAGACGAAGATGAAAATGACAATAATGATGACAATGGTAATGAAGATATGGGGAAGGATGATGAAGGTCATCTGATGCATGAAAATGAAATGAATATGGATTATAAAGATGATGATTTGAATTTAGATTCCAAAGGTGTTCAAGATAATTATTCATTTCAAAAATATGATTCATTTAAAGTGGAAAATGAGGTTATGCATTCAGAAGCTTGTGTGGGACATGATAAGGATTTAAGAAAGATGTTGGAAAACCTTCCTGATTATTCATCCTGGATTGATAGAGTTATTTTATTAAAAGAGAAGGACAGGAGGTAATTGTTATGTTACAGATTTAGGATTATGTGGACCAGTTGATGAAAAATCATCAAATAAAGTCTATGGAATTGTATCATATGTTGCACCCGAACTACT